TGAATGACTTAGCAATTCTCAGAAATACAATGATCCCAGACAACTCTGGAGGATGAAAATGCTATCCATGCTACCCAGAGAAAGAATTGATAGAATCTAAATACAGATCAAAGCGTGCTTTTAAAAGTTCCTTTATTTTTCTTGGATTTTTATTTTGGTCTGTGTTTTCTTTTACTGCACGATTAATATGGAAATATGTTTTGCATGACTATACATGTATAACCTATATCAAATTGGAGGGAGAGAATTTGGAATTCAGTTTTATAAATGAATGTTGAAAATTGTTTTTACATGTAATTGGGGAAAAATAAAATACTAAATAAAAAACTAAAAAAAAAAAAAGAAAATCATCTTTCTTCTTCCTCAAATAAATTCATGTCACTCCTCTGTTCAAAAACCATCAGTAGCTTTTAATTGCCTTCTGAGAAAAGTTGAAATTCTCTTTCCTGGCATTCAAGGCCCTCATAATCTTTGCTCAATGCATGGCATTAACAGAAGGGAGGAATATTTAGTTCATATGCTTCCCTTCCATTAATTCCATGCATCAGATGATCTGGACAAGTCCTAACCCTCTCCCCACTTTCCCCTCCGCCTAGATTTGTGTTGTTTTCTCCATTTTTTTTGTCCTTTGTTCAGTCTGTTGTTCCATATGCCTGAAATGATCTCTCTATCTTATCTTGTTATATATAAATTGTAATTATTTTCATTGTATTCTTTTTGCAAATACTTATCTTGAGCACTTTAATACAAATGGACTTAAATATCCCTGGTCAGCAACTACTTTCTTCCTCAGATCTCACAGAAACCTGTTTCAACTTTATAATTTATCTGTCATGTGATATTGTATATTAGACCTATGTTGTTGTGTTGGTGTCATCCCTCTACTACATGGACTGTATGCTCCATGAGGGCAGTGTCTAGTGTCTTAACTGTTACTCCGTGCTTAGAACAAAGCTTTGCAGAATTGTGACAGTACATTTTTTTGTATTGCATCTCATTAAGCACCTACTGTGTTCAGGGCTCCATGGTTACTATTGGTGATACAAAGGTAGAGAACAACACAGTCCTTATCCTCAGGGAGCTTGTAATATCTATTGGGAGATTGGGAGATGGAACTTATACATTCTGTAAGTAATAACAACAACAACAATAGCTATCACTTATATGGTGTTTCAAAGTTTGCAAAATGCTCTACAATTGTAATCTCATTTGTTCCTCCTAACAACTCTGGGAGGTAGATGCTTTTATGATCCCCATTTTATAGATGAGGAAACTGAGGCAGGCAGAAGGTTAAGTGACTTGCCCAGGATCTAAGTATCTGAGGCTACACTTGAACTCAGGTCTTCTGGACTCCAGATCCAGCACTCTATCCACTGTACCACTGAGCCATCCCTGTGTCACAGGTGTTGGCTGAGGCAAGTATGATAAAAGGTACAATATGATAGGGATAAAGTCAAAATCTAGACAAAATAAGAAAATTCGAGAGGGGTAATTCCAGTCCTGCTTTCCTCCATTTATGGCTTTCATGACCATTGGTGAATTATTTCCCCTCTCTGGCTCTCAGTTTTCTTACATGTGAAATGAAAGGGCTAGACTCGATTTACTTCTAAGGACCCTTCCAGCTCTAGCTCTCTTCTCTCATTGCATAATCACTTCTAGTTGGGCGAAGATCAAGAGAAAGCTTCATGGAGAAGTGATGTCTAACCCATAACTTGAAAGAGGGGGTTTTCAGTAGGTAGAGATGAGAGAACACATTCCAGGCAAGGGAGTTCGGCCTGCATCAGTGCCTGGGGGCCAGTGATGCTTGACAAGACTCTGGAAGGGGAGACATGATAAGAAAGAAAGTTGAATGCATAGGTGCTCTACCACTTGGGAGTTCACCTCCACTCCCAGCTTCTATGTGGGTTTTATACTACAGCTTGAGAACTAGTGTATTGGTTACATCCTATCCAGAGTAGTTCTGAGTAAGGGACTCTTTAAGAAGAAAAATGGCAATAGGGAACTCGTGGCATTGACCCATAGCCCCAGTGACCCTTGATTCAGCAGAGTATTGTCTTCTGTAATATCTTAATTCAAATTAAAATGACCATTGAAAAATGTTATGGTTATAACCTGGGATCCTAATGTTTAGTTCAATTCAACAGACATTCTTTAAGTGCCTGTCACCAGGGCCCTAAAAGGCCCTGCTCTAGCCCTCAGGAATACAAACACAAAAATGAAGTCATCTTTGTCCCCAAGGAGATTCCTGAGCATACAGAATATATGAAAGCAAGCAGACTACAAGGCAGCATGAAGAGAGGGAGTGAACCTCTCAGGACTCCCTAGCATCCTATTTGCCTGTGACCAGCAGCGCTATTTGTAGTCTAACATCCGACAGCCCAGATTCACATTTGCAAAGTGCTTTAAGGTTTGTTAAGCACTTTCCACAGAACAGCCTTGCCAGGTAGGACATATTATTATCCTCATTTTACAAATGAAAAGACTGAGGGTCAGAGAGATTAAGTTACTTTACCCGTGTTCACATAGCTAGTAAGTGTCACAGGCAGGATTTGATCTCTGATCCCCTGATTCTGAGTCCAGCACTCTTTCTAGTAGGCCCCACAGGCCACCTCTCCTTCTTGGAGCTGCAGCCTTCACAGTTCCCAAAGAACAGCCCTGTGGGATCCTGTCAGCCACCAACTAATTGCCAGTTGCCAGGAAAGCTCCTCCTCCATGGGGGGGGGGGGGGGGGGGGGGGGGGGGGGTGGGGAAGCTTTTTGTGGGCTGAATCTCACTTCCCTGAACTATTTGCCAAATTGCTATGGGAACAGTAATCTGCCCTCTGCCAACTAACTGGAGAGAGGTGGTAGGCATTATATCTGAAAGCACAAGCCATACTGGGAATATGTCACACCTTCCTCATTCCCATCCCTTCCACGGGAGTCGCCTTTTGGCTGGTTACTTCCAGTTTCTGGGAATTTTTGATGGCTTAAGAGTAATCAATGGTGTGAGCTCTTAGTTTCCAGAAAGCCTACAGCAGGGAGAAATCATAATGTACACACTGAGGCCAGTTCCTTTTGTTTTCTTTTTATTCTGAACTTCAACACCAAGTAAAATGTGCATTTCCATATACATACCAGATGAGAAAAAGAGGATTGTATATGGAACTTGGAAGCTAGATAGTGCTGGAGTCAACAAGATCTGACTTAAAATTCTTCCTCAAACACTATGTGTATGATCCTGGGCAAGTCTCTTAACCTTTTTCAGCCTCAGTTTCCTCATCTGTAAAATGGGGTAATAGTAGCACCTACCCTTACAGAGCTGTGGAGGCAAAGTGAGGTAATATATGTATAGTGCTTTGCAAATTGTAATGTGCTTATATATGTGCTAGCTGTTATTTTAAAATCTCTTTTATATGTATATAAGTATATAATAAGTTTAGCCTGTAGCTTTCAAAGCTGTTCTACTTATCTATGCTTCTTTTTGGGCTTTCTTCTCTCTGAGCATTTTTTTTTTTAAAAGGTGCCTCAAAGACCATCTTTCTTTGCTTTACTTTTTCTATCCTATCCCTATCTCCCTCACCCTCAAATCCTACCATACCCTCTAATTAGGAAAAAGAAAAAAAAAAAACAAAGTCCTTGTAACAAATATTCATACTCAGGTAAAACAAATTCCCACATTTTCTGACTCTGATAATGTTTACCTTATTATGTAACTTGAGTCCATCACCTCTCTGTCAAGAAGTGGATAGCATGCTTTATCATCAGTCTTCTGGGATCATAGTTGGCTAGTGCATTTGGTGAGAGTTCTCAACTCTTCCAAACATGTTTTTTTTTTAATTTTATAATATTACTATTATTGTATAATTTGTTCTCCTGGTTCTGCTCATTTCACAATGCATCAGTTCATACGAGTCTTCCTAGATTGCTTGGAAACACTTCATTTTGTCATTTCTTACAGTCCAATAATATACCATTACATATATAAACCATAGTTTGTTTGGCTGTTCCCCAACAGATGAACACCCTCTTGATTTCTAGTTCTTTGCCTCAACAGGAAATAAAAAAATACCTTCTTTCTCGAAGAGGTGGTGCAGTATAGTGCTCAGAGCACTGAATATGGGCTCAGATCCCAGATCTGCTATGTTACTACAAGCATGATTATGGGCAAGAACCTCACCCTCTCTGGGCCTCATCTTCCTCATCTGTCAAATGAGGCAATTGAACTAGATAACTGAAGTTCCCCATGAGCTCTTCTATGAATGTGTTCTCACTAGACAGACCTAGTGAGAAGAAGGGTCCTTCCCTAACTTGACATTTCAAACATAAGGTCAAAAATAGACACAAACGTATCCATACACACAATTGAGATAGTAGAACAGTGCTTTATGATTGCAAAGTCCTTTTTACATATCCCATTTTATCCTCACAACTAGCTGCCCCTTACTACTAGTAACATTCTACCCATTTTTTGTAGGAGAATTTGGGGGTCAGAGGGATTGTGATTTGTTCACAGTCAGAAAGTGACTGAACCAGGTCTTGAACCCAGGTTTACCTGACTCCAGGTCTAGTATTCTTTCTAGTATCCTTTACAGTGTCTTTTGATAGATATATACATGTGTATGGAGTAGTCAGAGGAAGTAAATTAGCAGTAGCTTTGTTTTATATTAGCCATTATTGGATTTGATAATCCTAATAGTTCAGTATTGTTTTAACCTTTTGGTGTGCTCTATGTCCATTTTTATTTATTGGTGCAGTGTAATATAAACCATGTGTGCGGCTTAAAATCAGAACCCTCGGCCCCAATGCCTAGCAGCATTTTGACCTTTGAGTCTTGGGTTTGTGATCCATGAAGCAAGGCTGCTAGTGTTTACACTGCATGTCTCACAGAATTGTGAGAAAAGTGTTTTGCAAACCTTAGGCTGCTAGAGGAATATGAGCTATTACTAAGATCTTGTGAAGTAAACAGTTTGGGTATTATTTAATCATGTCACTATTGTTTCCCTTATATGTCTGTTACAGGCACAGCTTCCAGAGAGCCACAGGGAGGCTGAGAGGTGACACAGACCTGAGAGGTCAAGGTCGACATTCCAGCCAGTGAAGTGGTGGAAGAGAAGCTCAAGAGTGGCTCTCCTGACTCGTAAGTCTGGTGTCCCTTTTCCAACCTCAGGGTATCTCTCCTCCAGATAATCAAGTAGGACAGGATGTGGGTGGAATACTCCCTTTTTGTCCTTCTCAAGGAGGAAACTTTTTTTTTTTTCCCTAGTAAACCATCCTGCTTTTCTAATGTGGGATATTTCTTGGTGATTAGCAATAGTCCCTAGAGTGTCTCTCCTGATCACAGGGGCCCAGCAGGTCCTGCTGCTTCAGAGAAATCTCTTTAAGGGCTGAACAGAATCTGCTGATTTATCTGCAAACTTGGGTTTGTTCTGGGAAAATTATCTCAACTATGCCTGTGTAGTGTAAAGAGCACTGGAAGAGGGGATCAGAAAACTTGGATGTAAGTCCCATTTCTTCCGCTTAACTTACTGCATACCCTACAGCAAGTTTCTTCCCCTTTCTGTGCCTCAGTTATCCCCATCAGCAAAATAATTGGGTTGTACTAGATGATCCCTAAAGTCTGTCCCAATGTTTATATTATGTGATTATTGGTGCGAACTTGGTGTAATATGTCCATTTTGCCTTTAGATGTCACTGCTGCATCAACTTTCTGTGGCTTTGAAGCCTCACAGTCATTGAGTTCTAGAATGTTAAGAGTTGTAATAGTTCCCCAAGTCTTCCCCATTTTACAGGTGAGGAAACTAAGGTCCAGAGAGAGTCAGTGACTTGGCCCATTCCATAAAGGAAAGCGTAACACAACCAGTAGAAGGAATTTTCTTAGATCCCAAAGTGAAATGAGAAACCTGAAAGGATGCGGATTTAGGGCCCAGCTGAGTGCCCAGTGTCCTGGTTAGGGCAAGTTGCATAGCAGATGCTAAAGAAATGATGTCTGTTTGGTACTTTATAAACCTGAAAGTCTATGTGAGTGTCAGGAATTGCTGTTATTATTACTTGCTGCTGTTTTGTGCATTGATTTGATTGACCTCGATAGTATCTTTTCCAGTCATATAGTCATCACCTGAGTACACATCTTCAATACCTCTCAACAGGATTGTTCTGATAGCTTCCTAACTGGTCTTCCTGTCTTGGGCCTTTTTCCTTTCTAGTCCTTCCTGCACACAGTTGTCAAAATAATCTTCTTAAGTCACACATCTTATGATGTCACTCTATGGTCAAAAAACTTTAGTGACTCAGACTCACAGACTCTCAGAGTTGGAAGGAGATCTCAGAGCTGATCTAGTCTAAACCATGCCTGAAGAAGAATTGCTTGTTCATGGTACTGGACAGTGGCAATCCATCAGTAAGGTCCGTGATGATCTTTCCCGCCCTCTCCTTCTCTTTTCCTTTCCCCATCTAGGCCTGTCTCCCTGTCTCTCCTAGGCTGGAAAGGCAGCACACCCTCAGGGTGCTGACCCCATTCCAATTGGTACAACAGTTTTGATGTGGTGCATTTCCAACCAGAGCCTGTTTGCTCCTCCTCAAGTGGCCGTGCTTTCCCCTCTTTCTCCTACTTTCAGGAGCTTACTTTATTGGTGCTAGACTTATTTCAGACACCCCATCAGTTTTAACTTTGCCTCAGCCTCCCACCTCAGGTGGGATGACAGGTGTGCACTGCTGCTACCACATCCCTCTGAGCCTTGGCTGTCTTTTCCATGAAAGCTTTCTTGGGCCTTCCAGCTGAAAAGTGTTTTTTTTCCTCCTCCAGTTATCTTTGAATCTTTCTTTTGCCCCTATCATGCTCTGTCTTGCATCATGCTTATCTGGGTAGGTGTTGTTATTGCTCTTAGGAGACCATTAGTTCCTCGAGGGCAGAAGCAGTATTTTTTTTTTTTTCATCTTTATATCCTTGGTGTCTAACACGGTGCCTTAAGGAACTTAATAAATATTTGCTATTATTGAATTGAATAGAGATTTTGGGAAGAGCCCTTCACTAGGATTCAGGAGACTTGGGTTTGAGTACCTTGCTCTGCTGCCTTTTCAGTGTGAATTTAAGGCACTTAACCTCCCTTTTTCCTGCTGTAAAATGAAGATTTGGGGATTATCTGGCCTCTCAATCCTAAATAGTGTGCTAGAGTGGAAAGAGCATTGGGTAAGAGTCTTTAAGTCCCTCTTGGCGCCTTAGTTTTCTCATTTGTAGAGAATAATAACATCTATGGTGCTATCTTCATGTTGTTGTGAGGATCAAATAAAACAATACACATACATTGCTTTCTAGGCCTTAAAGAGCCTTAGCCAGCTTTGGACCTGGAGTCAGGAAGACCTGAGTTCCAATCCATTTCAGACAATTACTAGCAATCCTAGGCAAGTCACTTAACCTCTGTCAGTCTCAGTTTCCTTACATGTAAAATGGGGGTGACGATGGTACCTACTTAATAGGATTGTTGAGGATAAAATGAGATGATATTTGTAAAACGCTTTGCAACCCCTAAAGCACTATATAAATCCTAAATAGATTGTGATGATGATGATGATGATGATGATTTTGTCCGCTATTATCTTTTGCTTTTATGTCTCTTCCTTTTTAGAGGTCTCAGTTTCTTCTTTGGTAAAGTGAGGCGTTGGACTAGTTTACTGCTAAGGTCCTTCCAACTTTAAAATTCTGTGATTCTCTGTTCTGTGATTCTAAGATAAATACCCTCTATCTGCTATCCCAGGCTGAGGGGGTTGGGTTGACTTTAGGTCAAAGGAATGTGACAAGCATGTAGTCCTGGATAATTTCTTACAACTGCAAAAAAATCCCTTTTCATTTTTTTCTGGTGAACAACTTCACTTCTATATGAGTAGTGGCCACAAGGTGGCAGCCAGAACCATCCCACTCTATTATTTCTGGCCCACACCTACCCAAATCCCAGAAACACCACAGTCTAGACTAGCTAACAGGCCGAATTCTTCCCTTGTTAGGTAAGCCTGCATGTAGACATTCACGATTCTCATTTCCAGCCATCATTTCCCACTGTGCCTTTTCAAGACTGTTGCTCAGCCAAGGTGTCACATCACACCACTGAATGCTTTGAAGGCAAGAGGGGCCAGATCTCCTGAATGGGATGTGTGCATTGAATTTGTGTAAATGACTGCACAGGAGAGACCTGTTTACTCTTAACAAGTATCTTTTGAACTGCTGTGGGAATAAAGAGATTAAATGGTGCTTATATTCAGATACCCTTTAGACTGATGTGAAATTCTACCAGGTTTCAGAGTGGTATTTTTGCCAGTAGTTTGATAAGATTTGCTGGCATGTTGAGTTCTTTCTAAGAACATTTCTTAAATTTCTCCCAAGTCTACCCCTCAAACTGTAATATTGGCTTTGTAATTATATGGTTAAGGGTTGACCTTTCTCCCCTCACCTACCTGTTTCAAACTTGGTCATGGTTTTCCTTTGTTTTATGTCTGTATGCAATTCACAGCCTGTTTGATATGATGTGTTAGTCTCAAGTTTAGTGCCCGAGAGACAGGTGTCTGCACCAGCAGCCAAATGGGGAATTGAAGCTGAGGGGAGAAAATCACAGGACAGGTTCTGTCTGTCTTGTGCTGGCTATGGTTTTTCTTTAGTTTTTTGTTTAATTTGTTTATTGAAAGAGAGTTAAGTATTTTGAAAAAAATCAATAAAATTTAAAAATGTTTGAGTTCTTCAGAGGCTACAGGGTATAGTAGAAAGAGCACCAGGCTGTGAGGATCCAGATTCCAGGACTAGCTATGCAATTGATATGCTAGGGGTCTTGGGGCAGGTTGCTTCCTTTCTCTGGATGTCAGGTCCCCCACCTGTAAGACAAGGAGGCTGGATTGAGTTGATTGCTCAGGTTCTTTTCAGCTCTGCCTCTCTGTTCTTATATTCTAAATACCTGTGTCTGCCTTCTGGCTCTACTTGGGAGCAAGAACCAAGTAATGACATGCCAGCCCTAAATGTCTGATCTTATAAACCTGTTCTTTTGGAGTGCTAAGTGCTAAGTGCTAAGATCTCTTCCAGCTCTGACATTTTCTGTTCCATTGGCCCTTCCAGGGATGAGGTGCCATGATTTCTGTGATTCTTTGTCCTTCTTATTTCCCCTTTCTTGTGAAATGCTTAGATAACTCAGAAAACACAAAGCAATATTGCTTCTGGTAAACCCTCATTGTAGCTCTTGTCTGAAGCCTGTACCAGGGGCATTGTCTTTAGCCTTGGAGTGGCAGATTTTTCAAGGTCAGCTGGGAATCAAGGCTGCTTCTTTCTCTGAGCTGGTTGGGGTCTGGTTCAGCCAACCCAGAGTTCTTTGGAATCTGTAGTTGACGCTGCCCTGCCCTGCTGCAGGGCCTGATGCAGCTTGAAGGAGTCTCTCTCCAAGTCTGTTGCAACATAGGAGAAATGTGGGAGGAGGGAGAGTGCTGGGATTGAGTACAGTTGGCTATGGATGGCAACCTGCCAGCAAGGTCTGAGTAAAATTCTTGTTAGTCCCATTTGAAAAAACAAATAAATTTCCAAGAAAATGTTGAAGTGCTTCCTTGAAGCCTCTTGCAGTTAGCTTACAAGAGATAAATGTATTTCCCTAAATGAGTGTTTGATACAAACTGTTCAAAGAGAACTGCTGACTCCTTTCTGTCTGAGGTTGGAAGAGGATATGATATGCTGCAGTGGAAAGAGGCTGGAACTGTACATCAGGAGATCTGGAGTCTGCTCCCAGCTTTAATTCTATGTGGGAACTTAGACAAGTCATTCTTTGAGACCCAGCCTCCCCATCTGTAAAGTGGAAGGTTGGGCTGGATCATCTACAAAGTCCCTTAAAATTCTAATGTTATGTTGTGAAGTTCTAAGTTCTTTTCAGTTCTGATATTCTGGATTCTGAAGTTATGGCTAGCTCTACTATTTCAGATTCAAAGGCCCCCTCCTGGTCTTATATTTTATGATTTTATAAGTAGCCTTCCACTAATACATTTCTATGTACAATTGTATCTAAATAGGGGTTCTTAAGCTGGAGTTCATAAACTTATTTAAAAAACTGTTTGATAACCATTTCAATATGATTGGTTCTTTTGGTAATATTATGTATTTTAATTTATGCATTTAAA